GATTTTTAACGCAGCAGCGATTTGTGAGGTGAGTATTTTTGTTCCTTCTTGGCTGAGATGTACCCCATCCCAACATAAATGGTTATGAATTAGTATTTTAGTGTTATCTATGTATTTTATCATGAGCTGAGTGCACATAAATTCAAGTGCTTTGTTGGTTTCGTCAATGAAGCGCCTACTACAGTCTTCCCTGAATGATATTGAAGTCACATGCCAATTTGTGCCTGGAAATATTTTTTTGTTCGCCTCAATAGTCAGCCATAGAGGTCTCATGACATGGTTGGGTGTTTTGGACGTTGAGACATTATTTGAGCCTATATTAAGAATGACGTCTTTGGCTAATGTGAGTTGGTTTGCAAGGAATTTGCTTACATCTTGTATCCTGCCACCTGGCATTGTTTTTACAAGTGTCTGAGGTTGTTCTGGGCGGTTTAGATGTCTGTCAATATTTTTTATTAGAGAATCTCCTATAAGTAGGGGAAGGCTTGGTCCTGTATTGTTCTGTGTTAAGCGAGGTTTTGTAGGCTCTCCACTCGTGGCACTGACATCAGCTTTGTGGGTGGATGGTCCGTTGTTTGTGGGATATTTGTTGGGACTTTGTTTGTCTGTGTGGCTATTGTTTAGATTTTTTTCAGAATGTCCAGTTGTTGTGTTGCCTTTGTGTTCAATATCTACTAAAGCGTCCAGCCTATTGTTGTCCGTGTTCTTTTGACTGAATTCACGTACGATAGTTTTGAGTTTGAATATGAGTTCCATATTTTTACTACTATTTCTGAAAGTCTGTTGTTTTCCTGTTTCTGTATATTAACTTCTTCTTTTAGGTCTTTTATATCATTTAGTAGTATCTTAATTATCTGTTTCTTGTATTAAAGCGTTGTACTGGTCCTCACTTACATGAATGCAGTGTATGTGGTACCATGTAGGCCTATCGTCATTACAGTCAGATGCTAGTGCTTTGTCGTCATTATCTATTTTTACATTGCAAATTCCACAGTAGAATGAGTGTATTTCTAATTGTTCAGGTTTAGTTTCATCTTGAGTATTGCCTTCCTCATGTTGGTCTTTGTCATTTTTCTCTAATCTATTTTTTTTCCTCACTTGTTTTGTCATTCTGCTTATTAAGCCTTTTTTTGTATTCCTCTTCTTCTCTATCAAAACATAGGGCTGCTTTATTAGGGAGATTTAAGTTTGTTAAGGGTGCAACGAAGGGGAAAAGACGGGGACGCAATTATATCTTTGGCCCATAGTGTGTCACATGCAAACCACTGACCTTTTGAAACTCTGTTAAATTAGCTTAACACCTTTTGAGTCCTGGGAAATGCAAGTTAATAAAAGTTATTTCAAAATTATGCCTAATCATTGATGTTTTTAAGCATGGTTTTGTTCATCCTATAAAAAATATATGGAACTGAAAGGGTTTGAGTTTGCAACCAATAATTATACGCTTCTCAGTTGTTATTTCCGGTACCTTGGCTCCAATGCTGTAGGGCATAGGCCCTTGTCGTGTACGGTAATTGATTAAGCAGCCCTTAGCCCTATGTGGATCTTGATGATAGCTATTTATGGTGTTGAAAACGTTGCTAATTTAAAATTTTTATAAATATTTTGGCCTATTTTACTTGCTCATCGAACTCAAATATTTGTACTAAAACAACTAGTGTTCTGACGTCTGTCTTAGTCTCACAAAATCATTGTGGACTCAATTTCCTGAAGTTTTTCTTGAAGTGCTATTTCTGTTGTGAAGTACGACTCATCTTTAAAGCCATTTAAAAATAACGGTAGCCTACTGTAGGCTTAATTTTTTAGAACCAAGACATGGTTATTAAAACAAGCCTATCTCATGAGAAACCAGATTACAAGGCCCTAATTGCTGATCACCTTTACCTCCTTCCCCACTAAAAACCGCTTTGATTGGATAAGTTAAGCTGCGTCCATATTATTAAACTATTCACGGGCCACCTCCTATAGCATAATGGCATTTAGTTTTTTTTTTATCTTACTATACTATTGTTAATATTACAGTGGAACCTGCTTTATTCCACTCCTTTATTATCACTTTTGATAAGTTATGTGATCAAGTATTTGCCCATCCTGCCGATTAGCACATCAGCATTTTCAGTTTTTTCTCTGTTACAATAAGCAGAAATCTGCAGTTTTCATCTTTGCAGTTAACTATTCAACCCTTTCTGACCATCGTTTGGTCCTGTAGTTGATAGACGGTTGAAATGTGTAATACCACTTCCATTTTCTGATCTTACAAATGCCACATTTAGCCTCTAAATTCCCAATTCCCTTCTTAGTAGGGAAAAGTTGGGTTCTTTAAAAACATAAAAGCCGGTTTTCCTAGATTCTAAATTTGGCTGTGTTTGCTGGCACCTACTGAACACTAAGGGTCAAGCACAAACATTTTCCTAGCGGAGTGCAAAGAAAACGCTCAGTGCATAAAAGACTCACACTACATTCTAGATCCTGTTGGCTGCCGAACTTAGTACCTAGTAAAACTGCATTAACTTTTCCTTCTTCATCAATTCATAGATTTTTTGGAATTCTTTTTAGGTTCATAAGAAAATTTCATTTAATCTGTTTTGTATTTTGAACTAAATTACGGTATGTAACCTACCTATGACAGTTAAGGAGGGCTAATTAGGCGCAAACCAATGATCTGCAGTCCTGGGCTGTGCAAAAAACAAATAATCTCATAAGGTTGACACATTTTCTGTTTATTAATTAATTAAAGTCTGCTCTATGTAATATTGTGCTACATTCTACGTTAGGCTTATATTGTATGTACTTGGTTGGATGCTACATAAGACATAAGACATTTATTTGTCACTTTTACATTATAATGATTATACAAATTATTAAATATACAAAAGTTACAGACCATGGCAAGAGATTAAAATTTGAGGGTAATAAATTAAAATTCACGCATCTTATATCTAAATCACAATTAACATCCTATTTCGAATAGTTTTCATTAACTTATCAGACATGAAACAAAAATCATCGATAGGATAGAGTGGGTTGTTTACTAAAAATAAAAGCAGTCTTTTTTTTTTAAATTCTTAAAATCCAAATCTGTCACAGCCAATGATAATTTGTTGAAGAGCCATTTTTTTTTTAACAGAGGGCCAGGCTTACAAGTTACCTTGGGATTGCATCGCAGCTAGAACAGCTTATTGTGCACCCTTGTTCACAGATCCTCATTCTCCGTCAAATCCCAAGTCCTTGGTGAACCGTGAGAGCCTTTTGACTATGGTGACCTGTTCTTCCCTTTGATCTCCCATCAATAGGCCAAGGGATCTCATACGCAGACCTTGTAGGGCTGGGCACATAAATATACCTTCACAGCTTTCACAAGGTCTCTGGCTGGGGCAAGCCGTAGCGAGATTTCCCCAAAAGGACTCAGCTCCTAAACTTGATTGACCAGCCAATCCTTTGTGGCTGCGTCAGCACAGCCTCCACCTTTCTTCCTGGAGGCTTCATTAGAGTCAGCTTTGGGGGTACCACCCTTGCCCTGCTTTTTCCCAGCATCCTAGTTCCCGGAGGAACTGGCTTTGCAGGCAGCAGAGTTAGGGTGCTTGGCAGCCCACACCAGCCTCCTCTCACTTCTGGATAGCACCTTTTCGCCTTTGGCTAAAGCATCCGCTATCCTCCGTCTTTGCAACTCACCCCTGGAAAGTCGTTTTTCGTACGAGGGATCTCATACGCAGACCTTGTAGGGCTGGGCACATAAATATACCTTCACAGCTTTCACAAGGTCTCTGGCTGGGGCAAGCCGTAGCGAGATTTCCCCAAAAGGACTCCTCAGCTCCTGAACTTGCTTGACCAGCCAATCCTTTGTGGCTGCGTCAGCACAGCCTCCACCTTTCTACCTGGAGGCTTCATTAGAGTCAGCTTTGGGGGTACCACCCTTGCCCTGCTTTTTCCCAGCATCCTAGTTCCCGGAGGAACTATCTTTGCAGGCAGCAGAGTTAGGGTGCTTGGCAGCCCACACCAGCCTCCTCTCACTTCTGGATAGCACCTTTTCGCCTTTGGCTTAAGCATCCGCTATCCCCCATCTTTGCAACTCGCCCCTGGAAAGTCGTTTTTCGTTCCTTTCCGGTTTCTGCGAGCTTGTCGTCATCGTTAGATTTCAGTAGACCTTCCTCCTCCATTTGGGTCAGATTGTCTACATTGTTCTCACGAATACCGGGTATTTAAGTCCACCTCCCCAGTGACCCAATTAGAGAGGTAAGGGGTGCGTACGACTGGGTTACCCCTGGTACCCAGAAGGCTCCGTTAAGACACTGAATATTAGGCCCCCAGTGCCACAAGACTCTTGGCACGGATCGCATTACACCTTAGTCTAGGGCCCCCCTCACTTGGTTCTGTAGGTGGACCAACACCCAGTGGCAGAAGGTAGCTCTCCGCAGCTAACAAGTGAGAGTTGGGGTTTAGGTTGTGGCCAATCTGCCGAACCAACCCCGCATGCGAGGTTTGGCCGGAACGGCGCGAAATTTTCTCCCACTCACTAAACCCCCATACCTTCCCTGAAGAGCCTGATACCCATAACAACATGTCCTGATCTCGTTTTTTCCAACCGGACCTGAGGTTGATAATTTTTTTGCAGTTCCTAGTACTAATGCCATGCACTTCATTTCTCATTTTATATCTAAAGCTATTCTTAAAAGTAAACAATAATAATTGATAAATATATAAGTTAAGGATGGTCAATATTTTTAAATCAATAAAAAGGGGTTTACAGTGTGCTTCACTATCCTCTTTACACATTATTCTGATAATTTGTTTCTGTGATAGAAGTACCTCGTGAATTTTAGGAGAACTACCACAGTAAAGTAAACCATATGAAGCAATTGACTGAAATAAAGCAAAATATGCAGATTTTACATAATTAAAAGGAACATAGTGCACTAATCTAGATTCCCTAGTACATCTGCCTAAGATTCTTTAACTAACGGTGCACATACCAGTACTGTTAACAACCTTTTTTGTTTCAGTTAAAAAAATGCATTGATTTGAACCCAGAAAAGATGACAGAAGCTGTATGGTCTCAATATAATGATTTACAGAAAATAGATCTATCTCATAAAGCTATAAGTGTCTTGACTCCTGGAATTTCCGAATGCGAGGGTGTTGAAACTCTGTATGTAAGTATTAGGCTAGGTTAGGTTCCTTAAAAAGTGGTTCAGTAACAAACAATATTAAAATGACTCACAATAAGTTGGCCTTGAAGATCATCAGGTCTTAAAATAGTATCTACGTTATAGTTGCGGAAAAAACATTTTGATAATGGCTTCCTAGTGGCCAAATAAAACCAGTAAAACCAAGGCCGGATATTAGGGTTCTATTGTACTGAAAAAGCAAATACGAAAACCCCTAGAACAATGGACGCAGAAGTTTAGGACACCATTGAAAGATTTCAATGTTTGTAGCCTTTGGTACGGTTGGTGTATTTGATTTTATTTTTAAATACCGTACTACAGTTTTGTATTTTAACATTGTGTATGCAACAATGCCTATCCTCAGTAGTAACAAACATGTCTTTATTAAACCTCAACTGTCAACATAGACTTCCTATTAAATATTAACTGCTTTCATAGGCCTCATGGTGTCAAACCTTTTACTTCACCATGCTGTACAGGTGTTGAAATTCTTGTAACTTATTTCATCACCAGGTGCAGTATGGTTACTTAAAAAAAAACACATTCAAAATTTTTATTTCCTTAGACTTGTCATATTAACGTACGTTGTGTTGTGTGTGTGTGTTGTAACGTACGTTCGTTGTCTTTTGAAAAATGTAATTTGAAATAATATACATATTACTTAATGCGTTGTTCCATTTTTGTTGTGTTTACACAGAACAACTGACGAAAACACAATAAAATATTTACATACATCTAGGGCTGACCTGACGAAGGCTGTAAATTTACTTACCTGATACTTGAAGTCTTCATCTTTGACCCGCGTTGCTAGATTGATTGCGTCAATGGTTTGCTGGCTAGACGAGGTCCCTAAAGTTGTCCTTGAACTTTTACGGGTTCGGTATAGCATTCATACGTGACGGGTACAACCTATGTGCTGGTTCAAATATACATAACTTATTTCATCTCATTCGTATTATTAGTTTGTGTGTCCATATAATCCCGACAAATCTTGAACAATGTCCCATTTTGTTAATACTGTTTACGTTGCTGGACACCACAATGCCTAATGAAGTAGTTAATATTCATCAATAATAGCAATTAAAAGTGAAATATTATAGTCTTACAGTTTGTTGATCTAAAGTCAGCGAAGAGGCCTACTGTTATGGTAAAAAGTCACAGAGTTAGAGGGGACTGTAATAATATAGTTCTGACTTAGCAGCCGAGAACACTACAACTGATATCTTGTTGTTGGTTCAAACCATTATCTCATTCATTGCAAACTAAAAAATAATAACTTTTAAGATTGAAAACATTATAAAAACCGTCCATTTAACAATTAGAGCTATTTTAGTTGGAAATGTTATAGGCCTACCTAAAGTAGTAAGAACACATGTTGCAGTTCCTGAAATTTACTTAATTACCACACATCAGAAAGTGTTATTTTATTTTATTTTATCTATTTGGTGTTATTTTAGCGAATTTCCCATAAAGGGAATAAGCTATTACCGTAGGTCTCATGGTAAGACCTGGACCTGGGACCGATTTACTTTTTCGTTTTGAGGTCCCCAGAGGCCAAAAACACCATCCGTTCAAATTCATATGTATATATATTTATACAGGGTTAGTAAAAAGTGTGGAGACCCCCTGTTATTTTTTTAACCGTCCATACTAGAAAAACTGAACTCGGCACACCATTATGGCATGTTATGAAGTACTTTTTGGGCATAACCGCCACTTGGTGTTCATCCCCAAAATGGGGGATTTTGGGGGAAACTAAAATATTTCAAATACAAAGACCCATCGAGTGACCCCTCATTTTGAAGGTCCTGGTAAAAGAAAACTAACAACGTAAACTAGAGGTCTCAATCTCAGTTCAGTACAAAATGGCAGCCAATTGAAATTCTCATAAGTTCCCAAACCCAAAATGGGGGATTTTGGGGGAAACTCCAAAATTTTAAATGATAAGCCCCATCGAGTGACCCCTCATTTTGAAGGTCATAATAAAAGAAAACTAACAACGTAAACTATAGGTCTCTATCTTAACACAGTGAAATATGGCAGCCAATTGAATATAAAATTGCAAATTATTTCCGATTTATAAAGATTTCAATCAGCTTCAATTTTTTACTGGATTGAGATAGAAACCTCTAGTTTGCGTTGTTAGTTTTCTTTTACCAGGACCTTCAAAATGAGGGGTCATTTGATGGGGTTTATTATTATAAACTTTTGAGTTTCCCCCAAAATCCCCCATTTTGGGTTTAATAAGCAAGTGGCTATTAGGCTTAAAAAGTACTTCATAACATGCCAAAAAGGTGTGTAGAGTTTAGTTTTCCTAGTGTGAGCCGCTACAAAATTTACAGGGGGTCTCCAGACTTGGAAAGCTGCAAGTTAAATTCAACTTCTGAGAATTTCAATTGGCTGCCATTTTGAATTGGATTGAGATAAAGACCTCTAGATTGCGTTTTTGGTTTTCTTTTACCAAGACCTTTAAAATGAGGGGTCACTCGATAGGTCTTTGTATTAGAAATCTTTTAGTTTCCCCCAAAATCCCCCATTTTGGGGATGTACACCAAGTGACGGTTATGCCCAAAAAGTACTTCATAACATGCCATAAAGGTGTGCCAAGTTTAGTTTTTCTAGTATGGGCCGTTAAAAAAATAACAGGGGGTCTCCACACTTTTTACTAACCCTGTATATGTCTGTTAGCACGATAACTCAAACAAAAATGATCCGATTTTGATGAAATTTGTTATACACGTGTAAACCTACATTTATTCTAACGAGTTCCCGAACCAGCATGATCGGACCATGGGAACAGGGGTTTTATGGGGTAAAAATGGGATTTTCCCATTTTTGACCCTACAAACATAAAATTTAGAAATTTCTTTCCCAACCATTTTGAAGAGCTTAAAAAAGAAATAATTAGTATATTGAGGCATTTTTGTATGCCTAGTGGTTTGGGAGAAAATTAAAAACGTAAATTTAAAATTCCCATGTTATTCTAATGGAGAAAATGAAAACTGTTGGTAGGAAATACTTGTTTATAGATATATGTTGATAAATTTGGCAAATTTATTTATTTCATCCTATTCTATTGACGTTTAAAAACACTATTTACCTTCCCCGTAGCAGCAAACCTAAGCACTTGTTAAATCTAATGTTATTTGAATTGGGAATAAATATGTCTTATTTATGGAAATATTTTAGTAAAAATTTAATCAGACGAGTTGAAATTCGCTTAGTCTGCAGGTTTGTTGCGGCGGGGGTATTTAAGTTTTGAATACACCTTTTATGTATCTTGCCTAAAAACTAAAGCCTAAAAATTGAAACCAAATGCTAACTAGTAAAATTTAACTTTTGTGTCGTTGATTATTAACAATTGATATTTTTCCAGTTACAGAGTAATTCACTCACCGATCTGCCAGCCGATGTGGGTGACCTGAGGTGTCTGAAAGTTCTGAACCTGAACAATAATTCATTAACTTCCATACCTTCATGTATTTTCAAACTGCATATGCTTACGGAATTAACAGCAAAAAACAATTGTATCACAAGTGTTAACAAAGATGTTGGAAATCTGTGTGATCTAAACATTTTGGTCAGTTGTTTGCTTTAGCTATCTAACTAAATATTCTAATATGTTGCTTAGCCTAAACTTAGATAACCTTAGATTCTCGCTTATGTCACTTACAAAGTCTTTTGTGTTTAAGACTTTAAAAATTGCTTTAAGATTAAAATAAATAATGGCTTTTTCAGCAGGACATATAAATACTGTATATACATTTGTGAGTTACAGCATACAAAAACAGCAACATTTATTTAAGAAAATATATTTTATTAGCAAAGAAATTGTATAAAAGTGAATTTAAGCACATAGGTTAAAGCTAATTCTTACCTATACCTGTATTATAATCAGGGCTGTACCCAGCTTTGGCAGGCCCTAGTACAAATATTATACTGCGCCCCCCCCCCCCCTTGAAGTATATGTTTGGCGGGGGCCGGTAAAATTGTCTGAAAAAACTGGTTTGAGTACGGTCCTGTTTATATTTCCTAGCACTTTATCGAGAAAAGGCTGGAAATTATTATGACATGGCATGTTTTGGCTGAGTGAAAAATTAATTCATTGTATATTGTATTTCTATAGTCTAATATAATAAACATAGCTGTAACTTAAATTATAGTAGCCTACACCAGAGATTCACTAAATCCGAACTCCCGACCAAACCACCTACTGCAGAGAGAGTGTTACTGTATTTAAATTGAAAATATACCTACGGTATGTGATCTAAAATAGTAACCTGGGTGTCCATCCGACCAAGAAACCGACAAACCTGCACTTCCGGCTAATCTGAGCGATTAAGTATTCCGATTGATTAGGTACGGTAGAACAGGGTACAGTTCCAATTAGTGAAACTTTTGTGTATGATTTTGTTTTTGCTTACAACATTTTAATTTGGACAAACCTTAAATAATCCATAAATACTGAGGTTTTGCTGTGTTTAAAACCACAATACAAAATATCGGTGTAGGTCTACTCAGTTTTATCACGCATCATAAAATTGCCTACCTAAAATATTTCTAGCTGGGAAGCATTTTTGAGCTTGAAAAATTCTAAATTCATAAAATGATATCAAATACAACTATGCTGCGTAGTAGTAGAATAAAATGTTCTGACTTAAACTATTGTTAGCAATAAACATTTTTGACACAAATCTCAAGCGGCCCATACACAGTCAGTTTAACTACATAGTTTATTGCCTGTACTGTCTGAACAATAAATCCACATTCCTGCAAATTTTCAAGCAGTGGCTACACTTCTCAGATTCGGTCTGGTCCGGTCCTTCCAAATGCGGAACAATGTATTTTAATGGAGGTGGCTACATTTCTCCGGTCCACTCCGGTTCAGCACCGAACAATACTCCAACATCCGAACAATGGGAGCATTCATCTGCATTTGGTGGAGGCAGACCGGAGCGTATGTGACAAGTGTAGCTACATACTTCTGGAACTCGGGTGAGGATCGGGGATGTTCTGTGAGCGCTCTGACCATTTCTGAAGTCACGTGATTACTACCTCGTGTAGGAGTGGAATCATAGAACGTGTGTGTACTTTCGAACACACGAAAGTTAGTCTGACTGGACCGGACCAAAACTAATCGAATCAGACAAATCTTCAGACGGGCTACAGACCTGTGCAAATGCAAAAAAAGAATACCTTTCTGGCCTATATTGAAGGATATAGAAATCTCCTGATATTGGTATATTCAACTGCTATCAATTCAATTATTTAAAAACACACAATTATTATTTACACACTTTGGTGCATATTTGAATCTGAATATGAGAGCACAGATTATCTGTGTAGTAGTCTGTTACTAACCAAGACCAGCTGTTTCATAGTTAGAGCGGTTTCATTTATTAAAATCCCAATGTTTAAGGTCAGGGGAGCAAGCTGGTCAAGCCGAATCACCAATGGATTTTATCTAAGTGATAATGCCGATGCCGCAACCCCTAGGTCTAGCCTGAAGTAATGTGAAAAACTATCCCAGGCTCGTGCCTAGCGTCTTAGGGCAAAAAACGGTCAGCTGGGCACAGTTTCGAACCATCTAAAAGCGAATAGCATTTTTCAGGGTTGAGCCAGTGACCTTTTGATCCCTAGGGTAGCACTATAACCACTTCTACATCATATTATGCAATTTGTGATAGTGGAGTTAAAAAAGTGAACGACCTTCATCCTGCTAACCTTTGAATGAGCTAAAGACAAACTATTTTACTATGTATCACATTGTTGACTCCTGTTTTCGATCTATTTTCACACGTAGAAAAACTTAAATAGCCCGTTTACAAATCAGATAACTAATCAGGGCTCTACATAGTTTTTCAAATAGCTTAACTAACCAGTTAAATTAATAGTGTGCCTTAGAAACAATCATGAACATTTACTTTGTAAGTGCTGTCATATCAATAACTTATATGTATTATTTTTCAGGACATCTCCCATAACGAGTTAATAACACTTACATCTGGTGTGGGATTTTTAAACCGCCTTAAGCATGTAAACCTATCTAACAATAAGCTCAAAAGTATCCCTCATGAGTTGACAGCTATTTGTGGTATGGTTTATTTTCTCTTCTGTATTCTATTCTAAACAGTATACAGGGTGATTTTAAAGTCCCTTCCCCCTACTTTTTTTTAACAGTATAAGTAAAAATGTTTGAACCTCGCACATCTTGTTTTTCATGTTTTCATTGCCTATCAACCTCTAAAGAAAGACGGTACACAATGAGTAAACCGAGATTCTTAAATGTAAGCATAGGTTGACATGTACATCAAATTAAAGGTCTCTGTTAGCAGAATACAATGCTGCAAACCAGACCTCAAAATGGACTGTTCAAAGATTTCTTGAATCTGCCATTTTGAATCTTTAAACGGCTGCCATTTTTTACTCAGTTGTTCTTTTGAGCTCAAATTTGCGGCATTACATTCTACTAATAAAAACCTTTAATTTGATGTGCATGTCAACCTATGCTTTTATTTATGATTTTCTAGCAGGTGCCCGCCGATGGAGGTAGCGTATTACAGCAAAGATTAAAAATGGCAAATTCAATTAATCTTTAAAAAGCTGTCATTTTTGACCTGATTGTCCATTTGAGGTCCAGTTTGCGGCATTGTTTTTAGTTCAACAAGACCTTTAATTTGATGTACCTATGCTTACATTTAAGAATCTCGGCTTACTCCTCGTGGACCGTACCCCATTGGAGGTGGAGAGTCAAATAACCCATGAAAAACAAGATATTTATGTCTAACAAAGATATGCTGAGTTTAAAACGTCTACCTTGTACTGTTAAAAAAAAGGTAGGAGGAAGGGACTTTAAACTCACCCTGTATGATAGGTTACTTTTGTTGTGCTTTGAGTAGACTATACTATATATTAAGTATTTCCATTGTTTGTTCTTTCAGTTGACTCTTGCTAATTCATCACTTGGTGGTATGTTACAACTTACCCTGTAATTAATGAGTCATGGGCGATGTGTGAACAATTCTGTAATTTTATTCATTTTGTGACGGGAGGCTTGCATCATTTCAATTGTGATGTCCAATCCGATTGGATTATTTTTACAGTACATAAACTTAAATGAAACAAGGACAGTTGGTCTATAGTCCAGTCAAGGAATGAGTTGTAGAGTGCGTGAGCAGGTAACTAAGCGATTCCTTCAGAAACTTGTTCAGGGGGCTTAGGGTGTTAACATACCAAAAGTCCTGACTCCTAGGTGGTGAGCCAGGGGGTGGAGAGGGGAAAAAGGGGGGGGAGAAAGGTACGCATTTTGGGGTTTTTGATTATATCTCGAAAACTATCAACTTTTTGTATACTATAGTAAATTATAAAATTGAAGAAGATTAAATTTTCTACAAGAAAAGTATATAGTGTGTTTATTTTGGTTCAACAGATTACGAGTTATAACTTATTTAATTAATATCTTATTAAAATCTTCTTCCATAAGAAATACATGTAAATTAGTATGCAAAATGGGGCGAATCCTATCCGCCCAAAGGAAATATAAATGATATTCTGGAAATCTTGACAAAATTTCCAGTAATTTGACACTTTAATCATTAAAATTGATCCAAAATTAAGGCGAGGGCGAGGTAACAAAATTTCGAGTTTTGGTGTTTTGTTATTGGAAATATAAAAAAAACCTTAAATCATCCCATTTTTAAACGCTCACCCTCGCTTTAATTTTTGACAAAATTTCATGATTAAAGTGTCAAATTACTGGAAATTTTGTCAATATTTCCAGAATATCAGTTATATTTCCTTTGGGCGGATAGGGTTCGCCCCATTTCGCATACTAATTTACATGTATTTCTTATGGAAGGAGTATTTTAATAAGATATCAATTAAGGGGAGATGCCCAGTTTTTCGATCAGAAAATTAATTTTTTGTTTATTGCATTGAAAAATTCTTCATCTCTTCCTGATTCAGAAAATATATAATTTTAATATATTTACTACAGTATAACAATCATAAAAAATAATATAAATAGTACTACACACTCGGTTTTAGTCACAAAAGGCTGAATTAGCATCAATAAAATTTAAGTTAGAAATTACATTTTGTTGAATGGCAGCACTGAATTAATGTTGTTGCTAGGTTAAATTGTCAGCAAAAATGTGTTTGTTTTTCTTTCTTCATAACAAATGTGTATAATAATAGTGCTGTTTGTGATGAGGAATAATGTGGCATATGGTAGGCCTAGGCCAGCCTAGGCTTGACTTAAAATGAGTTTTTCCGAAACTGTGTTTTTTAATGTTTAGGTACCATTTTCCAGACTACTATAAATACCACTGACTTCAAATTTTTTTCTGTTACTTAGGACACCATGGCCCACAAAGTGTACTAAAATTTTGCTTCTATGTTTAAAAAAACATGAACAATAAAATTAATTAATATTTATAAAATAGTGAAAAAAATTATATATTTTTAAAATCTTAATAAAATATGATTTTTTTGGTAGAACATATTTAAATTAGTACAGTTTGTTTTAAATATCAATAAAAATAAGTAGTTAAAATTTGATATGCATAGCTATAAGGGTTCTTTCTAAAATGGTACCTAAGCAACACGATGTTTACCCACATAAAATGCATTGAATCTAAAAAGTGGGCATCTCCCCTTAAATAAGTTATAACTCGTAATCTGTTGAACCAAAATAAACACATTATATACTTTTCTTGTAGAAAATTTAATCTTCTTCAATTTTATAATTTACTATAGTATACAAAAAGTTGATAGTTTTCGAGATATAATCAAAAAACCCAAAATGCGTACCTTTCTCCCCCCCCTTTTTCCCCTCTCCACCCCCTGCCTCACCACCTAGGAGTCAGGACTTTTGGTATGTTAACACCCTAAGCCCCCTGAACAAGTTTCTGAAGGAATCGCTTAGTTACCTGCTCACGCACTCTACACCTACTTTTGGATCATTCATTGACTGGACTACTAATGATCTTTCTAATGATATAAGCCATCCTGAGTTTTGTTCTTATTTGATTTGTATGGTTGTAAAATGAAGATATCCGTTGGAATAAAAAAATGGGGAATGATCTTGAGGGAGAAGGGAGCACGGTATTGAGCGCAATAAACTTGTCTTACTAATTAATTTGAATGCCCAACAGTCGAGGAACTTTTCTCAGCTTATAGTTTAAATTTAGTATTTTTTCTGTAATCTGGCGTTTTTGTTACTCGACAAATTCCAAGTTCTATAAGTGTTGAAATATCGAGAGGCAACTGTATTTTGTAACAGTGTATTTTCAGATGTGCAAAACAGGTCAATTAGATTCAATCAGGCCACACTCACACAAACTCGTTCAATTATGTTTGCTCCTATTTCTGTCTCATGAGTCCATATCCATTTTACTAATCACTAGGATGGCCTAACCTTAAATTTTATTGTCTATATGGTCCTTGGGCCTGTGCGTGAAATGTATCAAGTAATGCAGTTAGTGAGCCGGTACAGATCTAGAATGAACTGTATGGGCCGCAAATCCACGACATTTCTCCTTTGGATTTATAGTTAGTCTAATTTGTACCACCTATAGGCCACCAACTCACCAAAATAGTCCAGTATTAATTCACTGGATATTTCTGAAAGTTAAAACTCAGACTTAACTTTACTTGGAGCTTTATATTAATCACATTTTAACAGCTTTAGCTTTATAGAGTAACTTGACGGATAATCCACTCAATTAAATTAAAATGCTTGGTACAACATTAACAAGTAAATTAAATTCAATTTAGTCTTTAGCCGTACAAAATCACAGTTTAGGTTTAGTTAAATCAATTTTATCAGCACTGATATGAAATGAATATGGAGTTATTGTTATATGGATTCAAAAACTTTAAGGCAAAACATCAGCTGTTACATAAACAACTTGTTTGCTCTGTTCTGGGAGTACACAAAAGATTAAGCTAGCCGTATGATTATTACAGTCTGTATGATAAAACCTGTCTCCTGGCCCTATGTCTACCTGGGATTTACCTGTGGCCTTTAATCATTAGAAAGTTCCAATGTGGACCTCTGGTCTCGAGACATGTTTCACCATACAGAGTACACCAGTTTTACCTAAATTATCATTATCAAAAGGCTGGGAACACTCCAACTTTTGGTCAAGTACGCCATTCTCATGATAGGGTTTTATATGTGACATAATGGAATTTTTACATGACAACAGATCGGATTTTCTTCTTGTGTGTCAGTTGACCTTATAATATAAACTGTTTGGGATATTACATTATTTCCCATTTTTTCAGCAACCTGGTCACTTTTAATTACAAATTAAAATCCTATATATACCGTACCTTACTTTGACTGCCGAAAAGATATAATTCTGCACTCTTAGTGTCACTTATCACTTTTCCTGTTTCACTAATTCACTATAGTATATTTTTACTATTTATCTAATTTCAACAATGTTTATACAAATTCTTAATACAAGTTCAACAAACCTCAAATGCAAAAAAGGCCAAAACTATTACAGTATTTTTATAGATGTAGAGGCTGTGTCTTATAAAATGTTCTATACATAATAACAGTTTGCTGCTATGTTTCAGGGCTTGTGGAGATTGATGTTTCTTCTAACAAGATTAGAAAACTACCTTGTGTCAGAAATTTGTTACATCTAAAAGTATTTAGAGCCAAAAATAATTTATTAAAGAAGTTACCAGACTTTAGCCAATGCAGGGAGTTGGTTACCATTGACTTCAGTCAAAATATTCTCGAGGTTAGTCCTATCTATGAACAAAAGAATAGCCTAGATAATACTAGAAACAGCTCAAATCATGCCATATCTGAAGATCTACCTACAGAAAATACACCACCTGCAAAACTGTACATACCTTACATTTTGGGCAATTTTGAAAATAGAGTATGTTTTCTTGGACAAATTTTGAACTCCAGTGTAAACTATTAAATATACCTAATAATTAGTTTAACTGCCAATCAAAGTACATATCCGACCATGACGAAACAGGGCTATGGTCGGAACGGCCAGAAGGTCAAATTTTAGGAGTAGCATAACCTGCAATCTCCGAAACTTCAGTAATCGTCTCCCTAAACGGCGGAAACACCCTTGAGCGTCACTTGCAGTCTCCGTGACTCCTGTAATCGTCTCCGGCGACTTCGGTAATTGTCTCCCGCAACGCTTGCAACACCCGTGAGCGTTTCCTGTGTTCCTCCTGAGCCCATGACATGACTGAGTGACATGCATGCCCACGAGAGATTCCACAGAAAGGCTGTGGTCCCACGAAGTCTGAGGCTGACGCGACATTAGGTAGCGACATTAGCTAGCCTGTCAGCCACCTCGTTCCCTTCTATCCCTGAGTGCCCAGGAACCCAACCTTAAATTAATCTCGGCCCCCTTCGATATCCGCCACTGATAACTAAAAGTTGTAAAAGTTGTAAAAGTGTAAAAGTTCTAGTAAAAGAGTTCAAGACTAAGATTTTTGGTTCATTTTATAGACTTGTATTATTTTATTTATTTAAACATGATAGCCTTAATCACATTATACGAGAGTTGTCCATGGATTAAGGTCCCGAACAAGAGCATCGAGACGAAGCAAGCTAGTTGATATATTACACCAAGGCTATGCACTTTACTTTCTTCAGCACTATTTTAGTCAGTTCTCACCTCTATGTGAGTATGTGACACTTGTTATAGCCGATATATCTATGACCCCGCCATGTACCAGGTTTTGTTCTGTGATTATGATTCTGTAGGGGAAAAATCAACCACTATTGAAAAGCGTAAATCGGTGTTCTGGTCATCTACATATTGATTTTTTACGTCTATTTACTTTTTATTCAAATGCGTCAACTAGCGATAGGTTTCAGTTGGGTATAATACCTCTGAGAATGGTGTTAAACTTAGGAGTTAACAGAGGCGAGGGACAACTAACTGTATACTCAAGAATGGCTATGCACAGAATACATATTGAGTATCTTCTTATAATAAAATTTTTTAGTAAACTACCAGTATTGGTAGTACACATTTGTGGCTAAAGCATTAAAAACAGAAATTGAACTGTTTAAAGCAAGCATGTTAACTAGGTTTGCTGCGGTGGGGGTATTAAGTAAAAGTATGATTTACTAAATTAGCATGGGTTTACTCCATGCATGGAATTCTGCAAAATAGCTCTTAACATCTTTATACCCCTCAATGATCTAAGATTATATATAATGGTTTTTAATCAGAACCTGGAAGCATTAGAACAATAAAAAACATCTGAAGATTTGTAATATGTTACAGGACATTGATGATGCAAGTTTGAACTGTCAACCATTTTTAAAAGAAGTTCATCTCCAAAGCAACAAACTAAAATGGCTTCCAGAAGATTTTTGTAATCTCTCATCCCTTCAAGTCTTGGACTTAAGTTCCAACAAACTGAACACGTAAGATTTGATTTAAAACTATTTGAGATGTTCACTGTGTTTTAACATATCCCTTTAATATAGCTTTGAGGTGTTTAGTTCGGTTAGGGTCACTTAGCTTAAACTTACCTCCGTTCGCTTGGACAGCTCGAGACATCCATGGTTCGCTTGCTAATCTCTCTCCGTCGCTCGCTACTACTTCTCGGCCTTCGGAAGATGCTATTGCGTTGATCTACCAGTAAACGAGTACACCACTGTGTATGTTGGCACATCGACACACCGAACACTGATTACAACTATGTCGCACGACAACACGGTGTCAGCACAGCGACGCACTGAGAAAGAACAAGTCGTTTCTAACTAGAATACGAATAGGAATGAAAATATGAATTGGAATAGAAACTAAAAGATGGGGCCTGCACCTAGGCTTAACGAAAAAAAATCACTTCTCTAAACAACCAAAAATAATCCTCTCATACTTAACAGAATTGTAGTTAACCTGAAATAATTAAATAAACTAAATAAAATAAGTCTGAGCTTATATGCCAATGCACTTCTTGGCTCTGAGATAAATAAATAAAATCGCTTTATAAATAAAATAAAAAGCGTAGGCTACTGCGACACTGCACTCGCAGCGTCGGGCAGTAAAATATAATAGACTAAGTTCTTAACGATATAGGATGACCTAACGAATAATGAAATTTCACTCGCCAAAGTGAATGCAAAGAGGGATAAAAACGTATACGCTGACTATAACGGTGTATTTACGTGTCACAATATTTATCTACTCGATTTTCGAATAGAAGTCTCGCATGCCTTCGTCCGGATACATCCGAGCAGTGAATTCTACGCACAGCCCAGGAGTGATTAGTGTGCGCAAACCTCTCGCTTGATGCCAACTGAAGTCTTCTCCACTGTCCGGCCGGTCTCTGTTCTATTCCTCCCCACCGCTACGTCAGCCCTCTGAGACAGCCGCAGCGTAGTCCTGAACTAGAGCAATGCCAACGCCTATCATTGTTGCCGTCGTACCAATGTCACGTAACCGCCGCACTCGAACCATTCGGGGATTGGAAAAATTACCCCTATCAAAATTTGACTATTACATATCTGAGATCAACAAAGAAGGGTGGGGGGAAAAGCCCTGGAACAGTTCAATATATACTTTTTTAATAATCGATAGCTAACAATTACTGTAGTTATTTTTTCACCAGAAGCCTCCTTTGCCAACAATCCAAAAGCTGAGTATTTTCGAGCAGAGTCAAAAATTAAAGTATAGCCTATAGGGGACCCCATTTTCATAAACTTTGTGAAAGAAAAGGCGTAGTCGAAACCTGAGGTCTCCATCGCTGCCCAGTACAAAATGATTTCCAACTATCTAAGACTTTGATTTAATTATAACCTTTTGTAAAGATAAAATTTACCTGCCAGTTCTCCTTTGGGTATTTCTAGAAAACCCAAATCTAGCAATTAATTATTTAAACTTAAATTATCTATTGAATTGCGTAAGACTTAGTGAAAAGGTTTTCCACAGCAATTATTGTTTACCTAACTATCCTTTTTCCTACCATTCTGTACAGTCAGCAAAATAGTTCTGATCTATACAATTATTTAAGATTCATACTCTTTTTAATCTAACACCACCTGTAGATGTGTAATGAAAACTTATTTGAAATTAATTTACGTGAGTATATAAATATTTTAAATTGAAAACTACATCACATTGACAAACAGCAAACAATATATTGCTTTATTATTTTAACTGTAATTTTTTTACCATTTTTATTGTAATGTAATTGTATATCTTTTTATTGACACCATTACCACCTCAGGACAAAAATATGAATAAAGAATATGAATATCATGAAACAACTCAAATTATATTTAGAACCTTAATTGTATAATAAAGAGATATGACACGATCTAAGTTGGGTTTGTTGCAGAACACAAAAATAAGGATTAACCTGTATTTTTGGGGGGGGGGGGGGGGAGTATCAGTTTCCTTCTGCTAAAGGATTGTCTCGTTAAGCAAAAAACTTGTAGAATTATATAGTTGGAGCACTTTAATTAGCAACAAATTTTATAAAAAAAACATACCATCTCACAAACTGTTGACATTAAAGTGGCTTGCACTTATATTGTCAGTTTTGTTAAGTCATCAATGAATATGATACAAAGAATATTTTTTAGGGGTCTATGGTTCTTGATCAGTTAGAAAGTTCATTATATTAGCTCTTAGACTACCTATTCATGATTGTTGGTTTCTGGTATTTGAAATTATGTTGTACAGGTAGTACTTTATCTAATGAAAAGTTTAACATATTTGCTCTAGACTATTTATCAGTAATCACTTTTTCTGTTATTTAAAATTTTCTAAAAAAAACTTTGCTTGCAGGTTGCCTCCATTCATAGTTGAATACCCCAACCTCCAAGTATTGCGCATAGCAAACAACCCATTCAAGGACATTCCGCTTCACTACACCAAGGCGGACACACTCAGACTTCTAACTTTTCTAAGGGAGAGAGCCACTCTAGAAGCAGAACCTCCATCCTCAGAAGAGGATCAGCAACCAGTAGCTGTTCATGAAGCTCCACCCTCTAGATTCTCCTTGTAAGCAGCTTTATACATTTATGCTTGCCTCTGGTGCATACCTCTGGGCTTAACGCAAGTTAAGAACAGCACAATATATTTTCAACCTTACATGTTGAGTACCAATTATTGGATAAAGGGTTTTTTTTTTTTTTTTTAAAAAAAGAGGTTGGCGGCCTCTTTTAACCTTGCATTTGCCCGTCCACATAGACTAAGCGCCCGTGCGTGGATCGTTTGCAGCAAAGCAAGGAGTGAGCCGGTACAGTACAAAGGTGAACTGTACTGATAAAATGTTATCGGCAGTGACCAGGATCCGAACCCACGACATCGCTGTCTTGGGCCCGAAGTCCGCGACGCTACCGACTGAGCCACCGACTTACTAAATAAAAAGCTTTATATTGACTACAGCATAGACTAACGAACACTTGTTCTGATACTACTAACATTGTAACATTGTCCTAAGAACACTGATGAAGTGGTGGTTTTTTATCTAAAATTCATTAAAACCGCTTTATCTGTAATTTATTACTTTGTGCCATTTTTTTTTTTTTTTTTGGGGGGGGGGTGGGAGGTTTGGGGTGATTTTGACCCCAGCTACTGTGACCTGTTGATACCATCCCTCTGCTTAGTCTGACAGCCCTTGGGTAGAACGCTCATTCCTCTTATCTCATCAAGCTTAATCAGCGCCCTTCCAACAGATATCATCCTTCTTTGGGCCCAGGGTTGAACCGCCCTGCCACAAGTTTTTGAGAATTTGCCTCATTTTCACCGAATCTACTTGAGCCTGTCTCACAATGGTTCATAGGAGTTTCCTCCATTGGACTGTGCCCAGTTACCAGTCCGACGTAAGTCATATTAGTTTAGCCGGATTTTTCTGCTGGTTGTAAGGTGCAAAAAAGTAAAACTTATAGAAATTTACCGGCAAGTGTATGAAGTACCCAAAACCAATATAATGAATGAAATTCTTGCGTAGGCTTTCGCGGACAGTGTCATGAGAGTTATTGGTGGTGTTTTTCGGCGCCAACCACGTCGTCACTAATACAGTGTTGCCAGATGTTTCGCCCTTTGAAGGAGGTATGGTCAAGTCTCGAAATTTCGGGAAATTCTAAATCTCGTTATAAGAGACAGTATTTCTTTTTGATCGAGATTTTCTAAAAAAAAAAATTTAAAACACCTGCAGAAAGTCAATGCAATACTGGCAATACAGGAACGCGTTGTAGTTGTGTTTCCTTTGCGAAGGCATTCTTATTTAATTAATTATTTACATGTAGATATTACTTTAATTATTTTATCATTTGAGAAGTTTTGTTGAGTGTGAGCAGCGTGAGGCATGTTTTACTACTATAAACAAATCCAAAACAAGTAACTATTTTATACAAACTAATATTGCTTTTATTTTATAATTTATTTTATTTTAGGATGAGTTTAACTCTATCCTAACTGCTATCACCATGTTTCCTAACCGTAAGCATTTTTAATAAGTTAGGCGTAATTTATTTCCATTTTATTATGCTGATGTTTTTTAATAAAAGTTTTTAAATATTCTTGCCTATTATTATTATTTTAGTATTTAAACAGTCATCTAACAATGCTACAAAATAATAAAAAAATGTCAAACGTGCATTTCCCGTTGTGTATGAGAAGGGAAATCCCGTCTCGATCCTGTCTCGAAATTTTATGAGAAATAAAAAATCTAGTCTCGAACCAAAAATCCAATCTCGTCCATCCATACTTTGAATTGGCCTCCTCAGTGGCTGAGACAAAACCAGATAAGTTTAGTTTGTCCAGGTATATTTATTGCTGCGGTGAGGTAATCGGCGTGTGTGTGGAATGCAGGAAGGCATACTCCCCCCGCTCTGGCTGTTTCTAGTAAACTAGCTTACGTAATTTCGGCTGTCATGGCTTTGGAAGCTTGTAGCTGTCATCTTTATCAAAACAGTCACGGTTCCACAGTCAGGGCAGCCTATATTACACAAGCTTGTTTACTAGAAACAGCCAGAGCGTAATGAATGAAAATTCTCCCCGAAACGATGCATTCAATTAAAAAATTGTTGAAATAACATTAATGACAGAAGAGAAAAGTGGACACCTAAGCTTTGTCGCTGATAAACTGTTTGCTAAAATTGATGTGAAAGATTTGTGAAAACTCCAATTTCACTATAACGGAGCTTTCACTTTGTTTCCTACAGGTTTCAAGGACTTTGTTGTTGAAATTGTCACACAAAAGCTAGGCTACCGTACATTTTTTGCACGATGGGTACTGAAAATTATTAAAGACAGGTTTGGCAATTTTGGAAATGTCAAATTGCAAATTGCATAGCTTCAAATAAAGGATGTTGGAGATCTAATTCAAGGACAGCCCTCATACCCAACATTTTTGCCACCCACATCGTAATTTAAAGTTATAGAAATTTTTTTTCCTTGACCAACAATCTTTGTTTGCAGAGGTCAGTTACGAAGATGTGGAAGTGTTGTACACACCAGTCCTGATGAACCAGTTCCCGACACTGTGTGGGAAAATGCAGTCACTGCAAGAGTGGTCATTGTCAATCTATCTCACTGCAGACAACGTCTACCAACACGGTAGTTAACTTACCTTAGTATAGGCTAGGTATTAAGTATTGTCTAGGTATAATACAGTAGAGACTCGTTCATCTGCTCTTCAGCTATCCTACTATTTAAGTTATCTAACCCTCCCTGTTGGATGATCGAGTATCATGAATGAGGTTAATATTGTACTGGCTATTTGAGTTTTCAAGGATAGCACCACTACTAAGATTTGGTTCTAGATTGACCAAATTTAACTACTTTAGGGTAGGAAAATTCAAGGTATTTTAAAAATCTACAAATTATTGATCATCTCGCTTGAGTAACCCTTGTAGCATTGTTATCACATTGTTTTGCTTGCATTTTATTATTGTCAGCCTATAAAACTAGTATCACATTGTTTTGAATAGTCAATTTATATTATTATTCCAACAGCATTTAATCACCCCGCAATACAGTATTACAGACTTGTCTGAAACACTGATGGAACTTCACCTTGTGGACACTGGGATGAAGGAACTTCCATCTCTGGTTGGAGAACTTAAAGAACTTCAAGTTTTAATCCTTGATCAGAACTTACTCTCAAGCCTCTGTCCCGAGCTGACCAAGTGCAAATACCTGAAGGAACTTTCTCTGGCATGTAACAGGTTAGTACCAACAGCTGTGCAATTTTTATTAAGCTTGTGAAACTATAGTCCTTTCACAAGATCTAAGGGGTTTGAACTTCCCCCATTAATTTTTCGCTTAGTATATATGTAGCAGCTGATTGACGTCTCAGCTGTTGAGCTATTATTTTAAAAATAGGATCAAGTGGAGGGGATGGATTTCTCTCCCTCCCCTAAGTATAGGTATTTACAGACAGAAAATTTTAAACATATGTGGTCAAGTGGTATTAAAACTTGAAAATGTAAAAAAACTAACACAATTTGCAGGAACATTTTTCCTTTTGTTTCAAAGCCAAATTGAATTCTCAATCCAAGTTATCACTCCTTCCCTTTGTGGTGTGTTGTCTAGTTGGTCCATCTGGGCATGTGCTCAAAGGGTAAGCATTCTCTGCATTGCTCCTTTTCTGAGTTACAAGCCTATAGCCATATGACTGATTCAAGACCTGTCCCCTCTTGTATCTTCTGCAGTTTCAACCAACCAAATTGGTACATCAATGTCGATGCCTAGTAGAGGGGTGTTATTTCACCTATTGTTGTCGTATCAATAAGACTCTGTTTCTGGCAATCAACAAATCCAAGACTGCCCAGGTTGTAGTGGGCAAGAATTGATTCTTGAACAGCTGGTGAGCAGTTTGCAATGGTAGGTGCAAGGGATTAAAGCTGGTTTCTTTCATGTGGGAGGTTTTGCAAGATATTTAAGTCGGAGGCAGACAGGATTTCCCTGTGTTTTCTTCTTTCTGTACTGCTATTCCATGTATCTCTTGAGTCAAGGGAAAGGAGCCACATACTATTCCCATTTGCCTGTAAGCTGTACCCACTGTTTTAAGAGTATTATGAGATTAAAGACTATTTTTTATTGAAAAAGTTAATTTTTTACTATCAGTCATTGCTATAGGCAGTATTTTACTTAAACTTATGACTTTGGTTTTAAAGACGTCCATTGTCCATGTAGCACTTGCCCTATGATGAGGATTGATAGAAATAAAAATGCATACGATAAGGTGAATATTATTGCAAACTCAAACACCCAACTATGAAGCCCAAATTACAAAAGGACACTATTTACGACAAAACAAGCTTATAAGTTTAAACACAACACAAATTACAAGTAGGCCTATTGTGAGACAGTTTGTTACAAGGAAACAAGAACATATAAAAAAAGGTATCCCTTTTTCCTTACTTCAATGCTGATCAGCTGATATGCATATTTATTTGCATACTTAAGTTATCTATGAGGTTTAGTGTTATTACGAATTTATTGTAAATAAGACTCAACATGGTCTTTTTTTTTTGCAAGCTCAAATACAGTGTGAATTTTTATGGTTCTAATTTCTATATCAATCAATCAATCTTTATTTGCCATAAGGATACATTTACTTATCATTGACAAAGTCTATTTGCAGTTTTCAAACCAAGTCTTAACATAAACAACAAAATACTCTTTCAGGCCAAATATTACAATTAACATTCAACTCCATTCACATTCTTAACTGAAATTAAAACCAAACTAAAGGACAATTTCTCCCAGTTTAAAATAATCATCCAGACTATAAAAAGGGTTCTGAAGTAGATAATTATAAAACATAGCCTTAAATTTGTTAATTGAATTTATATAATTTTTTACTGAATTATACACTTTAATTGATAAAATTATGTGGCAATTACTAGTTTTACTAAGATGATGGGACCCGATTTCCTTAAGGTTTTGACAAGTCATATAGTTCATCAACAAATAGTTGATTCTTTGGGTACAGGAATCACACCTGGAAGCTTACTTTCAAACCCATCTTGGCATAAAATCAAGGAATTACTTTTAACGTATCCTTCTACAATCCATACTCTTTATGGTTTCAAAAACACCATGTTGAGTCTTATTCACAATAAATTGCCAATAACACTAAACCTCATAAATAACTATGTAATAATGCAGTTAAGTTGATTGGCAATGAAGTAAAGAGAACAGGGATACCATTATATATGCTTGTTTCGTTCTTACAAATTGTCTCACGATACATGTAATTCGGATTGTGTTTAAAACAAAACACCCTATACTACCTAGGTTTTTATACCCTACTGTTTAGTATTCATCATCAGATGCACTAAATAAACTTCTGTTTTACAGGTTTAGCGAAGTTCCAAAGGTTGTTTTTGAGCTGAAGCTACTGAGAACCTTGAACCTCAGCAATAACCAACTTGCAGACCTGAGCAGTGTTTGTGGCTGTGAGTCTTCTGTTGCTTTGGAGAATCTGCAGTACCTAGAAACTCTAAATATCAGCAACAATGAAATCTTCCAGCTACCACCTCAACTGGGCCTCATGACTAACCTTAAGTATGACATTTTAAACTGAGTAGAATCTCAATTATCCAATCTAAAGTAGTTGTGGTAATAAAAGGTGACAAGACAAAATTATACTTTTTAAAAACAAGCATTTTACATATTTCTAAATGTCTAGTATTTTAGGTGAGGTCAATACCTCAGTATGATAATATTTTTGGGCATCACTCACCTTATTGAAATCAGAAGAACTCAGTCCTTGTCATATCACAGTTCATTACATGTACACACTGATAAAAATACAAAAATAAAAATAAAACTGAATATAAAATCACAGACTAAAGTTCTCAACTCCAACGTTTTGCCGCACCAATTAAAACGTGCGGCGTTTTCAAGGTTATTTTGTCTTCTCATGTAAACGTAGGACTGTGTTCTCCTGATTTCAATAAGGTGAGTGATGCCAAAAAATATTTATCATACTGAAGCATTTACATAATTTACTCATTTGTTTTTGTGTCAATTATAACTTTGATTACATTAAAATGTTTGCAAACTTGCCATTTAAGAAGTACACTATTTACTAAACCTAGTTGGATACTCTTGTCCTTTACTTATAGAAAGGTGCTTTACAATGTCAGTAAGGTTGAGTTCACTTTCATTCATGCAGGTTTCAACCATTTTCTTAAATTCTTTCTTTACACGTCTCAGCATTTGATGGCCACCATTAATTGTTGCCACTTCTTAGTTAACTGCGTCCTTGAGACCCACCAAGGTTTGGGGTTTGTGAGTGTGGACGTGTAATTTGAGAATGCCCAAAAAATATTCAAATTCGCTCAAATCTTGTGACATTGGGGCCCCCAGAATGTCTCGGAAATATGAACACCTGTTCCTATAAACATAATACTGTACACACTACGGCCATTGAATCCTCAGCAGTGTGTGTGATCGATCTTATTGAAAATAAACATAGGTATTGTTAACGTTGCTGTCTCATCTGTGACCTGAAAAAAATGCTTGAGCATATCAACACTTACGAATCAAAGCTTGTCCAACCATTTCAACATCTACAGCAACCTATTTTTGACCAAGTGGCTTCTTTTTTCCGATATGTCCCTCATTTCTCAAATTGGAATCCATCTGTGTTGTATTTTGGCTGCAAACTGTATTGTGGCATCTAAGATGAAATTGAACGAGAAAAGTCGCTGCACTGCCATGATAGGCTTATAGGCTCGTCCAAACCGAAGCGGGAAAGTGGCGGGAGCGGTGCGGGAGCGGGAAGGGGGTGAATGACCGGCGGGAACCAGCGGCAGCGATACGTGGCGGGGAAAGAGGTAGCCCACACCGAAGCTGCAGGCAGCGGGAAGCGGGACGACTCCTCAGTTCATTTCCATCTTAGCTACAGAGTGTTCGGTTGTGTTAAGTGAATGTTTGTATTTTATGCGTTCATGTCATGAATCGTAATGTACAAGAAGAAGAAGCTTTGCTTTTGCTAGCAACAGCTGAAGATAAGATGAAGCTGCAAGACGGCGATCTGTTTAGGTTCATGAAATCAATATAAATGGACGTTTATTTGGCGAGTACCATACCCTTATGCCGGTTCCAAAGAAAGACGAAAGGTGGTTTTATATTTATTTTAGGATGACCATCGCGTGTTTTGATGAACTGTTCAATGAACGCACTGGAATCATCCTCAGCCATCTCCTCAAATGTCTCGGCACAAAATAAGTCATGTACCCATGTGTTCCCGCGGCGGTACGAGCGGGAAAATCCAACATGTTTCAAACTGGCGGGACGATCGAACAACGCTGCGGGACGGCGGGAGCGGTACCGCTCTAGTGTGGGTGCTCACATCTAACACCATGTGTTTTAAAATCTAGCGCGGGAACTCGTCCTGCCACCTTCCCGCTCCTGCCGCTTTCCCGCTTCGGTTTGGACGGGCCTTATTTCACCATTTCAGGCATATTCATTATACGCAAACATACGGTGTTTTGGTGTTTACCGTCCAATGCTCCATAGTTAATAAAATGGCATGGCATAATATATATCAATAAAATGACACCCCCTTTTGATTATAACTGTTGTGCGGATACTATCCGTTTGAAAAATGTCTGGTTCCTGTCGTTCACCCAATGGGTCTGGAAACTATCTCGCTTGGAATCGAACCAGTGATTTTAATATTTGAAGGCGAGCACTATAACCATTTGACTACCCAGACATCTTATGTCTTATGTATTTAGTTGACTCATTATTAGCCTCTGATATTCTATTTTTTACCCAAAATGAGCCATAATGGTTGTAGTTTTCCCTCAAAACGGTAGAAAATTTGGTTCACAATTGATATTCAACCATAAAATAAAAATATACAAAAGTTGATCAACAAGAATATTTGACTTTTATCATTGTGTTTAAAAACATATCATTTTTACAACTATAGATCTTAAGCAGATGCTCTATATAGCTGTTTTTTTGTTTTTATTTTCAACTATTCATACCAAAACTACCCAAACTGATTGTTATGATAATTTTTAGGATGATAATTAAAGTGTTATAGATCATTCTTAAATATAATGGAAAAGCCAAAAAAATTTAATACAATAATTTCTTCTCAATTAATCAATAATCATCATTTATTGTCATTCAGCCTTTACAATCATGCAATACACATAGGTTGTTTTTACAGACATCTGTTTTAGGCATGCAACAAGTTATTCAAATATATTAGCATGAAATAGGTCTTAAAATATGTTGAATGAACGGAAAAACAAAGAAATAATAATGATAATCCAAAACAGTACACATATTAAATAATATGGAATAATAAACAACAATGAGGCTCCATAATAATGCTACAATTATTATTCAAATCCATCTTATTATCACTTGATATTTTTTAGATGAATCATAGTCAATGGTTTTCTAGGTCACTTGAAGTAACTGGCAACAAATTTCGTCAGCCAAGCTACCATATTGTGTCCAAGGGAACTGAAGCTATCTTGGCCTACCTGAAGAACAAACTACCCGAGGAACCTTCAACTGAAGTACAAGAGAAGAAAACACCTACCAGAACACCCGTGTCTTTCTTTGTATCATAAGTGCTTGTGTGTCCATAAGTGGTCCATGAAAATCAGTCACGTTTTAACCTAATTTAATCATTACTAAGGATCAGCACCAGCAATTCTAGTCAAAGCTATGAGCCAACAATTAATTACCGTTTTTATTTTCTCCATGAAACGAAATATGAGTTGCACATTTGCACTACTCTGATACTCAAAGCCTAAGGAAATATGGATTTCTGTTTGATTTTTTAAACATTTGATCTTATGTATTTGATACATTATTTTTGGTTTTGATACCTTTAAAGGGTGTTAATTCTTTCCCCAACAGTTTTTTTTTTCTCTAGATTACTCATCTTTACTGATTTTCCTGTAATGAGCTTGAAAAAAATCATCACATTAGACTTTTGCTATCAGAACTTTTTGAGGTGAAAAATTGCATCTAAACCATCAAATAGGGATTATCTGATTACCCAAAAATTGTTTCCTCCTATTCACCCAATGTTGTTGAGACTCTGCACATGAAAATTGTAGTTACTACACTACATACCATACAAAACAATGCAAGATTAAATTTGGAAGCATATTCAACACTATGAACACGTAAAGCATCAGTTCTATGGACACAAAACCAGCAATCTCATTCAAAATGTTTTTTTTATTTTTATTTAGTATTAAAAATTGAATTTAGTTTTTTTTTATTTACAGAGTGTTTGAACAGGAACTCTCTAATTTGAATCAATAATAGAGACGACAGTAGGAGGACCGATGCTACTAGGTGTCGAAAGAGGTATATCCTCAACACACCATAATATTAGATAATAATATTAGACACACATAATATTAGATTACATATATGCATTATTAGGGATGATACTTTCCTTTTTATTTGGATCCGGTAACCCCTCAAGTCTTGTTTATACCCAAGTACCTGTCTTATGCAGTTAGGTCTTTTTACATAGTTATTTGAAAATATGTAGTTGTTGAGTTGTGTTAAGGCAAAGTTGCAACAAAAATTTCAAATCTTCCTCTGTGTAGAGCAACTAATGGGTTCTCAGTAAAAGTTTACTACGAGGAAAACTAAAGTAAGTTAATCTCTTTCATTTTCTTTCCTCAAAATTAGAGCTTTCTTTTGCAAACACTCTGTACCTGCTGTTATTCCTGAGATAGTTTAGGTTTAGATGTTAGTTAGTGATTGCATTGAAATAGAAATATCAGAGAATATTTTCTTAGCTCTAGTAACTTAAGTCGTGAAAAGCTATATTTTTCTGCTAATCTTATTTCATTGTACAAATATGTATAACAGATGTTTTAATTTTTTCTAGGAGTTTTTATTTTATTTTATCAGTAGTGTTACCATGTTTATCATTTTGTTATTGAGTTACCTATATTTATTACCAAAACCGATTGGTAATATTCATCATTCCAAGTTAAAGTTATTTTACTTTACATATTTTTATGCTTAGTTGCAAAATTTGCCAAAAGTTCAAAGCTTGCGTACCTGTTGTTTATGAGATTAGGTGGTGTAGATGAAATATTTATTTATTTATATTGAAGTTGTTTAGTTATGTCATTTAGTGTAGTTACTAATTTGTTACATAGAGGAGAGGTTTTATTTGCCTGAATTTTAATGTTATCTTAAGTTATACCAAAGTAGTTTTAATATGTTTAGCAATGAACTTTAAGTTTGAACTTGCACGAACATAAGTTTAAGGTTGAAACTTATCTTAGGAGGTTATATATTCAAAATATATAAAATGTTTAATCACAAAAATTATAGTCAAAGTATCCTAGTCAAATCTAATACGATTTTTAAATAATTATACGTTAGTCAAGATTTCAGAGATCACAGAATATAAATAGACAGGTGCGAGATGTGAAGCCACCCGAAAATAACGTGCCCGTATAAGGGGTGGGGGAATCGTTGAGTCATCCTAGTTCTGCCTCAGGTACTAAGCTTCTACACATTGACACTGCCTCGTTGTTTTATGAGTGAAGCTGTCTTCAAAAGCTACTGTAATTCAAATCAAATTACAACTACAAGAAATCTAACTGATTCAGGTATCGCGAAAGTGTTACTCAATCGTATTGGAATCACACTGTTTCCTACAAGGATTGTGGGGTTTGGCTTCTCTGCCCGTAATGCTTGCTGTATATTCATAGCCTCTCTATTTTTATTCTGTGCTCTCTGCTTAAATTGTATTAAAATTCCATAAAGTTCAAACTTTCATATTACCATATAACCATCATATCATATTAACCAGTCTGTAATATTATCATTGGGTTTTTTTCATTTAAGAAAAAGGTTATGTAATAGTTTTTTCAATAAAAGTACCTAGTGTTATACACAATTGTAATAACTTTTTAGTGTTCATAATTTCTCTCAGCAACATAAATTTATCAGTTTGTTCCAAGAAGTTTGAACAATTTCCTATCAGATATTTAACGTATATAAGCTAAGCCATTTTTTATATATTTTGTATTATCATCCTAACAATATTATCATCCCCGTTAACTACATTTTTGTTTGAAAATCACCAATTTACAACACAAATACATGTTGTTATCCATGTTGTGGACATGTTGTTATCCAAATGTTTGATTTTTAAACTACTGTAGTTTGAAATGTAGTTTTGGGAGTAATAGAAGAGACTGCAAATATCTTTAGAGACAGATTCAGTCATTATTAACCTTTACCACAAATTCTAACACATTGATCACTATATGATTGCATATCTTCTATGGCCAAGTTTTATCATAATAATAATTTGTTACCCCTATTCACCCCTCTAATGCTATTGCATGAAATAGTTTGTTTATCAACGATTCATTAACTTGTATTTATTTTAAGGCATTTTATTTATTACTTATTTATTTAACATGATAAGTGTTTGGTATTTATTTTCCACTCCTAATCAGATTTTAACATCAGCTTTTAAAATTCTATCCTCAGACTCTAGGTTTAGTAATTAAATAAAAAGTGGCACATTATAATTTTTAGGTACTGTCAAAGAACTTAAAAAATAATATCGCTAAGAAATAGTGATTTCTACAAAGATCTGGTCAAAAAAATGTATTTGCTGTACAGATTACTTTTCTCAAAGGAAAGGCCAGTTAATGTTTTGTTGATACAAAACTGTAACAGGGCTTTGTAACAAGTATTATTTTTTGAATCTCTGTAATAACCCTATCAGTATTTAAAAATAATTGTTGGGACCATTGACCCATGGTCGTAAAACTAAGATAGTTATGGTTAGTGTTTCTGTTTTGTCATTTTACTTAATACTTTATTATATTTTATAGCTAAAAGAGAGCTTCAGTTTTTGAAATCAGTTCATTCACCTTTAACACATTGCACTTAAACAGGATAACTATTTTAGAGCGTGGTCTTAATACTAATTTTGTAACACTCCCGTTGCAGCAAACCTGCATACATTTTATAATTGCTAGTTCAGCACATATTCTAAGGATCTAAAGTAATAACTGAATAGTCTGATTACTTCACATAATCATTTATCCTCACTCAATTAATTACTTTAATTACTTTTCAAATCTTTGGAAACTCAATAAACATTCATGTGATGCTTTTGCTAGCACTTGTATTTCACTAAAACATGTGTGATTGTTGCTAAACATAGTTTATATATTTTAATTATTTATTCCATTTATAATCTTGAAACAAAATTTGATGTTGTCCAACAGATTAATTTTTGTGGTCTGCACTTCATGCCTAATTTATCTTTATATAGATTCTGGGTGATTCTTTTAATAAATTTGTAATGACCTACATATATGAATTTTATAAAAACCACCTTAAAAAGTTGTTTGTACAACTTCTTTCAGTCCAACTCTTGGCTGCAAAAGTATACATTTAATGTTTATTTGAGTCATGAAACATTAAGTTAAAACATTTAGTTACCATTATTCACCCTTGCCATGTTAGTAATTGGTTTTAATTTGAGTTACTAATCATAATATTCACGTTGAACTTGAGAAATGTTTTTAGCTTTCAAATAGTTTTGTTTTTAAAATAGTACGTATTTGCGCATGGACTTTTATAGTTTGACAGATGTTATGTCAGCAAATGGACTATATGAGTTTGATTTATGTAATATTGTAAATTTAAATGGTACAAAATGTTTATTTTTACTTATAAGTACTATCACAAATAAGGTGGACAATAATTCACAAATTATTTATAAACAGTAATCATCAAGTGATCTATTACTACAATTTTAGGATGTTGTGATTAATCTTCTGGTTAACAAATCATGTTTTGAGTTCTTGATAAGAATATAATATTTATCAATTTTGTAGTAGTAATAGAATATGTATTAGTGTTTTATTTTGTTGTTAGCCTAGTGAAAGTTAAACTGTTCTTTCTGTGTGTTTGAATACCATTTATTGTTGTTATGCAATTTTGAATTAATAAAGGTTGCTTTTGCAAATACAATGTGAATAGTATTTCTTTAGAACATGTATTCCTCACATTGAATTGCGTGTTTAAATGAGTTTAGTACTGTATGTCCATGAACTTGTCTACCTACCTTTGTCATCAACTCTATGCATAATGAGATTACAGTACCTAGTGTTGAGCCATAATTTGACTATATCACTTCCCTACGATTTCTTTTGAGGCTAGGAAAAAAATTCACTTATTTATACCGACAAAGTGCAATGGAGTATACCCAACCCATAGATCAGTTGTATTCAGGAAAGATATTTGAGATGCAGATTGAAATTACAGGTACTGTAAGACACTGTTTAACGACAAAAAAAGCTAATATATTGGTATCCTTGTTTTCTTTACTCCATTGCTGTTTAGACGATATGCATTGTTGCATAGTTATCTTTGAGGTTTAGTGTAATTGAGAATTTATTGTAAATAAGACTATTTTCGCAAGCTCAAATAGAGTATGTATTTTAGGTTTACAATTTTTTTTTTTTTACTGATCCGGTTTCCTAAAATTGTTTACTAGTCTATATGTTTTGATGTACTGGAACCACGCCAGGAAACTTATTTCCAAACCTCCTTTGACATAAAACCAATTATTTACTTTTACCAAACCTCATAGATAACAAAACAATGGATATCAGCTGATCGACAATAAAGTAAAGAAAACAGGGAAACAAGCAATAAGCTTATTTTGTGGTAAAATAAACGGTATCAGCATTCTGACACATACTTTCTCCCATAAGTTTGTCAACAACCTTTATCATGTTTAAGCGGTGAGAGTAAATATACGGAAATGGAATTTGTAAGATTTTCTTCAGAATTTAAAGGACTATAACATACTAAATTTTTATCAAAATCGTTCGAGCCAATATTGGGAAAATATAATTTTCCGTTATATTATGGGGTTTTTATGGGGAAATAACATAATTTACAATAACTTTTGAACCGTAATTTTTACAGAGATGGGATTTGTACTATTTTGTTCAGAATATAAAGGACATACTAAATTTTTATCGAAATCGTTCAGGCCATTTTTGGGAAAATCTTTTTTTTTCCGTCATTTTATGAGGTTTTATGGGAAAATACCCATTAAAAATAAAAATTTCTAAGAAATGAGAAAACTATCAAAATTGTAAGGATCATAACATACTATGTTAAATAAAAACGGATTTTTTTGTCTAAAATTCTATTTTTTGTTATTTTATGGGATTTTTATGGGAAAATAACATAATTTACCATAACTTTTGAACCGTAATTTTTACAGAAATGGGATTTGTACCATTTTGTTCAGAATTTAAAGGGCTACAACATACTAAATCTTTATCAAAATCGTTCAGGCCATTTTTGAGAAAATCCGATTTTTCCGGT